CAAATATAAGAGTGTCATCATTATAACTTTAAACCTTAGTCCCATGTTTGTATGTATAATTATTGTAGAAGAGAAAAAAGGTTGTAAGTAAAGAACTGTTTAGAAAACAACTCATCCTGCTGTTCAGCTCCATCCAAAGCTTTTCTGTAGGATTTAGTTCTTTGTAGCTACAGTAGATGATGTCTATGGGAGAAGGTCTGTTTTTGTGTCTGGTAAACTATTTCTATGTTGATTTGACCACATATGTTGGATTATTATCCTGCTCTAAGATCCAGAGGTTACGCAATACCAGTTTTTCTTAAAGGAGGCAGAATGCAATTTAGTTCAGTTTATTTATGTAACTCCACCACATCATCCTAAGGCACAAAGTAAATTTAATCAAATCATCCATACAGATTAGTTAAAAGTTTTCTATATAAGGAAACCCAGCTGATGTAGTGATTGATTTTGAAGAATGATCTCCTTCTGGATGAGCATATACTGTAGACGCACGCACAGTAAACATACAGCAGCCCCTCAGTTATTGATGCCATGTGTTTAAATAATATTTCCTGGGCCTTTAAATGAGCAATAGGCCCACAGCATCATGGTTCCTTTTTCTGCTTTCAAAAGTCTCTATGAAGTTGTAGAGTTCACCAGGAATTTGAGTTGGGGGGTGTTTTTATATTTAGGGAAGGGGGAGGGGTGGCCTAGTTGTTAGAGCAGTGCGCTTTCGCTCTGAGAAGATTGCAAGTACCCGGTTCGATCCCCATAGCCTGCACTCTGGGTCCCTGAGCAAGACCCTTAACCCCTGATTGCTCCCCAGGCGCCGCACAGCGGCAGCCCACTGCTCCCCAGGGGGATGGTTTAAATGCAGAAGTGAATTTCTCCATTGTGAGATAAATGATGTTCAGTTAGTTTATCATTATTTACATTTTCAGAATTTTCTCCTCTATGTTTAAATGGGTCTTTCTGTTTTTACCACTTAACTTCTTATCATATCAGCTCCTCAGTTTTTATGCTTAGATTCTCAGTTTATGTCATGTGTTTGGAATATTTCTCTCAGTTTGGTGTTTGTTTTTTTAATTTGGGTAGAAGTCTGTGTGTCCCAGTGCTTCTGCATTCACACCAATTTGTTTTCTTTGTTTAGAATAGAATAGAATAGAATAGAATAGAATAGAATAGAATAGAATAGAATAGAATAGAATAGAATAGAATAGAATAGAAATGGAAAATCCCTTTATTGTCCAACAATGGGGAAATTCTGGTGTTTACAGCAGCAAAAATATTATAGAAAAATGGTCACACAAATGTGGATCTTAGAAAAATGTATAAGAAAAACATAATAGGGAAGAGTTTGAAGACAAACGATAAAATATTGTACTGTAAAGTGTTTTAACAATATAAACTGTGCACCTGGAGAATAATAACCAATATCCAGCTATAGACATTTTTTACAGTAATAGATATTTGAAAATAGCAGCAACATCAGAGATGTGGAAAATGACAGCAGCATATTATTTAACTGACTAAGGTAGAAACTGCAAAATCAGCATGAATGGAACAACTTATTGAGGTTGTTGGGAACAGTGGTGGTTCTAGAATCTCCCAGCTGCAGGTAGGAAGGATCTGTGCAGCTGTAAGACTATAACCATCACTCTTCCCAACAGATTCCCTGAGCTTCTTCTTTCCCAATTTCTCCAAATTTTCCCCAGATTAACTCCCCTGTACTCTGTCATTCATCCCTCAGTATGTACAGTAACTTATCTCTTCCGTTTTCTGCTTCAATTCTCTATTGGGACGATTGTACCCTATTGTATCTTTGCCCATGCTCTGTAACCTTTTCTCTTTCTGCAATACCATCTGTAAGTTTTTGTTTGTCTATTTCAAGTAAAGACCTCTTTATTTGGCCATTTTAGTCTCTGCACTAGACATGGGCGTAGGTTTGCATAGGGTCCATAGGGACATGTCCCTACCCAAAACTTTGGCTCGACCTACTTGTCCCTACAAATAATTCTATGTGAATAACATTTTTATAATTTACAATACAGCATTGTTGCAGCAGTCGCTTCTTTTCTCAAAACATATATTGAAGTCAATATTTTAAATGCTCAGTGTCAGTTCCTCTTAAAGTTCCCACACCAATGTAAATACAATAAATCTATTTGCATTCCCTTGACTATGTTATTTTGCTTTGTTTTACAATACAGAGAATATCAACATATCAGATAAAAAAATAAGAGTGGGTTTTACCTCTGTTTACCTCTGCATAATACCTATAGAAAACACTGGATGAATACACATACAACAAACATATTTGGACTATATTTAGTTAAAAAGACACATATTTACCTTCCGTCTTAGTCACTGGTTAGTTCAAATGGAACCCCTTTCGAG